CTGCCCTCAGGGCACTCGGAGGAAAAAAAAAATGGTGTTCGTCATCCATCCTCTTCACCACATCTGGCACTGTGTGAATTCTGGCTCTTACCCAAGTAAAAACAACCATAAAAGATAAGTATTTTGAATTGATTTGGATGTAAGGCAGCCACAGCATCACAACTGAAGCAAAAAGAATTCATGGGGTAAGTGCAAGGGGAGTATTTTGTGAGGAATTAATGGCCAGGTGCAATTTAATATAATACATTTTTTAAATTGTAAACATCCACTTTTTCATCCATACCTTTGTAAAGTATGTAGAACTAGTACAGAGAAAAACTGACCAGTGGAAGAGAGCTCAGAAACTGGACACTGTACAGAAATGGAGACACTTTTTTAATGACAAGCATACATCAGAATCACCTAGGAATCTTCATAAAGGTCTCTAACCAGCCCCACCCTAATTTATCAGCCATCTCCAGGGATGGACCTCCTCAACACTCTTCATTAGGAACCGCAACTGAAATACTGTGGTCCCCACGGACTGGAGGTGCAGCTCAGCGGGAGAGCACGTGCTCAGCATGTGTGACGTCCAGCTTTCATTTCCTGCTCATACTCATGTCCAGGTCTGTCTTTACCAATGCAGCAGGAAAACTATGGCAGAGGTGCCAACTTTCAAAGAAGATGGACTTACATAGTCACAGCTGAGAAAGGAAAGCAGCCAACCATCCAGAAACTGATCCAACACTGTAGCTAGACCAGGAGATGTTAGAAGTCACCATGGTTCCCCCTGCTCAGTCACGCTGTGCTGTTCTCTTTCTGCACATAAATAATTTTACAAGTCCCAGCATCAGACAAGGTTGCTCTATAACTGAAGTGAGAGGATCACTGCATAATTTTGGCATAAAAACAAAATCACTATGTAAACTATGGGCTACTAAACTGACCTTCTTTCAGCTGTGAGAGATTATTCTTCACCAGGTATGGCTTTAACCTAGCTCCAATCTGCCCCTTTCAAGGTTAGTTTATAGGCAGTGTCACATAATGATGTACCCATGAGCAGAGAGACCACAGGTACAGTGCTGGTCCTCTAGGATTATCCTGCCAAGGGATATTGTGACCAGTACAACTATACCCTGTGACGTTCCCACAACAATGCAGATGCATTTCTCAGGCCACTGACTGCACATAGAGATGTCTTATCAAAGACACCCCTACTTTCTGATGGCACATAAGTGACCGTGAATCCCTGCTTCTTTGAGCTTTGTCCAAACCACTTAATCAAAGGCCACATCCTAACACCTTCTTACTGAGATGCCCCAGCCCCCCAAATTATGCCCACATTGTGAAGAGTAGGCATTTGTTGGACACTCAAGGACAATGAGCAACCCAATTTGTTCAACTATAGGTATGTTCACAGAGATGTGTGGCTGAAGATGATACATGTTGTCATCTTCCACCAAAACTAGTATTTTAGTATATGTGCTCCCCAAGTGAGCACAACATTAGGATTTTACATAGTAAACTTAGACCCAAGGAGTATGGGGATTTAGTTTAAAATTATATGACTAAATGAAATTCTAAGGCTTGTTATGGGTATAGACACTGCAAGTAACTTTCCTTTTTTTATTTTTTTTTTTTTTTATTTTTTTTATTTGTGTGTGTGTGTGTGTGTGTGTGTGTGTGTGTGGCCAGCTCAGCCCACCAGGGGGCGGGGCTGGCTGGCGTGTGGTGTTGGGGGATTGAACCGCGGTCCCTGTGCTTTGCTAAGCTTGTTCTAAGTAGGTGCTTTAGACCACTGAGCCATCTCACCAGCCCTGCAAGTAACTTTCAAACAAGTAGAGAAGCAAGTTTTCAGCTTAAGTCAGTTCAATGTATTATGTCTACCAGAACTCAGCAAGACATAAGATAACATTTAAAATGAGGGAATTCAGCAAAATGAGTGTCTGTGTTACTTTTTGTCTACATTTTCTTTCTTTTACCTTGTTTGGCAACTTAAAGTTTCTAAAAAGTAGGTATGTGTTGCAAGGACAAACTACACTGAAGCAAACAAAAACTGAAATTCTCATCAAAGCCATCAGAGTAGCGGCGCACACACTACCGTCGTCACTCAGCATATCAGATTCATATGTTCACTGTGGCAAGGGCCCCGGTGTGCTGTGCCAGCCCTGACCCTAGGGCATGCATTAAGCATAGAAAAATTACCCAGAAAGTGTGAGAGACAGGACCGAGGACAGACAGTGCTGAAAATTTGTTAACACTAGGATTTAGGTATTTGACAATAAATTTGCTAATTTCCAATCTTATGCTAACACCCTTCCCTCCGAAAAAAAGTATAAAAACAAATAGTATTGCATTTCTAAAAACAGTGAAAGCTAACCATCTTAGAACAATTAACTTTATGTCTCATGAGTGTTTCCATATGTAGGGTAAAATTTGTAATTAATTTTGATAAACATACT